ATAATTTAAAACTAGAAATTAAAGTTATAAAATGTGTTAATTAAAAAATATTTTGAATAAAAAATTGTTTTTATGAATAACAGAATTTAAATGACTGTGAATTGACTTTAGATTGTAGTTTTGAGTTATAAAATAAATTTCAGAAAACTTTTATTTTATAAAGAGTTAATTAGAGTTTTAGTTTAGATTTTATTTTGTATTTTATTTCGATAATGAATTGTGTGATTGAAAAGCACACAAAAACGTAGAGATTTAGATTAGAGTGATGTGAATGAAACGAGTTGTGAAATTATTTATAGTTAGTCTTAGATGCTATCATATAATTCAGTTTAAGTTCATAAACCCATTGCGTGTTTCACTTTCAAGCTTTTAATTCAATTATTTCTAATGATTTTCTTAATCGAAATTAAAGCAATCGTTTTGAATATTTTTTTTCTCATTTTATAAATCATAACAACGAACAGACTTTTATTTTTAACCAAAAATCTCTTCATATATATATTTTATTACAAAATATTTAATTATTTAATTTGCGGAGTATTTTACGATTAGATCAGAAAATAAGTTTTTAGACAAAACCACAACATTTGTAAATACAAACTCATTTGTATAATACTATCATTTTTATGAATCGCGAAATATATAAGAATAGGTGTTTAATATGAGAAGCAAATGTGTGCAGAGTTTTGTATTTGAAGTAATTATCATATTGTGTATCATATTGTGATAACTTAGTCGGTGTCGCAACAGACCTTTACGATGACCTCATTGTCTTGTTGTGCTGTAAGACCTGATTGTTTAGTCCAATTTGAATGCATAGTCTTATTATCATATATTCTCCGCCACAAAGACATACGACAATTGATTTGATTTTTATTTAAATTCAATTCTAGTTTTGAAAGTGAAAAAATTTACAAATGAATTCAAAACGAAATGTTTGAATAGATTGTCGAAATGTTTTTTGTTGTTTCGATTAAAATTGGATTTTTGTGTCTATTATTTAATGAATTCTTTAAACAATTTTCGTATATTTTTATCTCTCTATTGACAAATGCATTCAAATACAAAACTGTCTATCAATAGATACAGTAGTCTATTAAAAGACAAATATTTGATTAATATATTGAAAGAATTGAGATTCTTTTCATTACATTGTATTTAAAAGCTATTCATTTGCCTATATTTTATTTCTCAAATTTAGCGCAAATACTTTGGAAATATACAGTATTATCAGATCTTTGTTAATAAGATATGATATTAATATTATATCATTTATTACACAATTTTATAAAACGAGTAAAAATATACATTTTAAATCTGTGATGATTTCACTGAATTATTACTGAATTTTACTCCTAATTAAATAATTTAAAAGCGTTTATAATGCGTTACATAACCGGTAATTTGTGTCACAAATACTTTGAAGTATCATATAATGTAAGATTTTGTAAAACGTTTTTGACTTAACATTAGATTACAGTAGTATTCATTCATATCCAGTAGATTATAATTATAGGATTAAATTATACAAGTTTTTAAATGAAACTATAATTAAGTGTTTTGAAAACTAAAAATTTCAAGGCTTTGGATATAACATTAAAAATAATTATAAAATTAAAAGAATTTTCATTTATATGCAAAACATTTAAAGATAACAATCTATTAATTGAACGAAATTGTCATTCAAATGACAGAAGACCTCAAATTTTGCATTAAATTGTAATCAAATGCTATTCAAAACCATACTTCAAATAATACTTTCTTGTTTTCATTTATAAATATAATCATTTATGAGTTTTATTACAAAAACTAAAAAATAGTTATAACATAAAGAATTTTATTTTAAAAGCAATTTCTAATTTTATTTGCAATTAATGTCATCCAAAATAAATAAAAATTTAAATTTATTTCAATACTAAAGACTTTATGATTCATAAGATTATGAATAATTTGTAATAATGTTATTATAACTGATTTTTTAGTACTCGTTAATTGAAAATATATTATTAAAAAGTAGTTTTCTGTTTAACGATTGAAATGTATTCCTAAAAGCAAATTAAGATTTGTATTGAGAAGACAATAGTGTAGTGATTGTGTCTGTGTTTGTCATCGAAATCAAGGTTAAGATTCTTTTCAAATGCATTAAAATCATGGGTTAAAGAGAGATATATTTGTGAAAAGAAAATTAACTTCACTTTTAAATTAGTAGTGAAGACGGAAAAGACAATTGAGTGACAAATACTATGACTAAAAACAGAATACGGAGAGAGAGAGAGAGAGAGGGAGAGAGAGAGAGAGTTATGCATCAAAGAGTTGGTAGGAATGGTAGGAAAGCTAATTAACTGTGGATTCCTTATTGTAAGTGACATTCAAGAGAACAACAAAAATACTTTTTCTCATTTCAATTCACTTTTGACTAACACCTCGTTAGAAGTTCTCTAGAGTTGAAAGTTATTTGACTTTAAAGGACTTAAAAATTCATTTATAAAAACAATATGTCGTGAGATATCTACTGACAGTTAGATCTGAAAAATGAAAGCAATTGAAGGGCTCATTCATAAGATTGAAAGCACGCATCTATTATACATGTTTTGAAGTGCACAAAATCATATGAAAAAATAGTTTTGCATAAAATTATTCTTAAATTAGACAGCGATGTGATTATAACCGGAATAATGCATGCAATGCCTGTGCGAATGGAACGCCTATTTTTCGCTGTCTATTCACTTCCACAACAAGAGTAGCCCTTAAAGAGTCGCTGAACAGAAGAAATAGACTTTCATTTTTGCATTTTGTGTTCAGACAAGCGTTAAATTAAGAGATGGGAAGTTATGGCAAGTTATGTGAAGTCAGAGAATAAGAGTTTTTAGTTTTGTATCTATTGGTCAACAATGGGAACACTTGTGTCGGCAATGGTAGAGATGTGCTGATCCTCTCATATCATATAACAGCCCATAAACACAACGAGAGATCGCTTTTTGGGTCGACATAGAAGTGCATAACTTTTTTGGTGACACTTATTTGCCAAACAATCACATTATGTTGTTTTTATTCATCTCTATAACGCTTTAAGACCTCTTTAAGTGATACTGTCGTTGGTATTGCTATTATAACATCTGATCCCTGCTGTGAATTGATCTGTCGCTCTGTCTCTGCTTTTGATCCAATGATAACTTCTTTAGTGATGTTCTGTTTGCCATCAAGTATTTGATTCATTGATAAACTCATTTCCAATCGCAATATAGGAGTTCACTTGACTATAGTCGCCGAAGGAGTTGCGAATCGATGGCATAAAAACTTTTACTTATTATATAAAATCGAAAGCAATTCAACAAATATAAGAATTTCGATTTCAAATGCTATTTATTTTAAACTAAAAATGTTTTTATAGTATTTTGATAAAAGTTTTCTATTCGTACACCTCTTCTGTGTTCCCAACGAAATGTATTTTGTGTTCAATATATTGGCCCTCATTTTGGTCAAGACTTTTGTGGCCGTCTATTCAGACACGACCACAGAAGTCATCAATGGATTCGATGTCCAAACTGTTAAGACAACAGCGAGTGATTCCATTCACTCATCAGAATCTGTCAAAATCAATGAAACCATTCCTATGGCTTCGGCCTCGGATACGACTCATTGGTTTACAGATAGTCAGCGATTAGTGACCGACACACCGACCACTTTGTACGGCAACCGTAAGAAAAGCACTGCCACTGCCTATGGAACCGATTCCACGAACAGATACTCTGAAGACGTAAGTATTTCATTGAAAACATTTTATATTTATTGAGAATTTCTTTTTATAACTTAATATAAACTCAATTACAATAATTACAGTACAAAGTATAATAATTTATAAACAATTTCTAAGTATTTATTTATTTATAAAATTTCCCAATTAGTTTCTTAGATAACTTATTTTAGTTTAGGGGAATATTCTGTTGAGACATTGACAAAATATTCAATCATATTAATATAAGATTTCAATTTTACAAAATGTATTCAATTTCTTATTACAAATTATTAGAACTTTTATGAATAGATTTTATTTGAATAAATAATATAAACTTAATAATAGCTTTTAAGATCTTTATTCTTAAATATTTAAAATGTTTTATGCATTAATTATGGAAAAATCAATCGATTATTTCTATTACATAATTATTTTTTTTTATAAATATATTTTTTCACGTTTTGTAAATTTACTCAGGATTCACACTCAGGAAAGGGTTGTCTTAGCGTGCTAATCTCTTCTCAATTCTATATTAATTTACAATTTTGAATAATAATTACTCTTATTATTATTGTTTTGCTCACAAAGAGCGACCAAATAACAGATGAAAGAGTTACGCAAACTTTGCAAACAAACTCTTATACAAAACCCGTGACATTAACTTCGCCTTCAATGGCAGCCGTATATGAAGACCAAAGCCATTCAAACGGCGTGAGCGCCGCCGATAAAAGCGATGGCGGAGTGGAGGGGTATGACAGCGGAGTGACTACAAAGTCATTGCTTACTAAATATTCAGGTAATCACCCGTTTGTGTGAATAAAGTTTGAGAAATGTTTGAGTAATTATCTATACACCGAAAGCACTCAAGAGTTGTGTTTAGAGTTCAATAGCGCGTATAAATGTGTGTAATCCATACTGGGAGAGTAATGATTGAGTCGCGTCCATCGTGAAAAACATACCGTGGGATTAAAAAAGACCAGTTGAGAAAATACTTTATTATGTTTGTTAACAACACTACTACGCGAACCTAACAGTTATTTTGTTCACTTGTAGGTCATATACCTTTCACTTTTATGTATCGCATCATTTTGTGACATATCAAATATGAATTATCAATGCTTTCACTGTACATTTACAGTACTGTTCACTATACTGTATCTAAACAATTGAAAACTAATACAATTATATTAGACGTGATTCTCATACCTAAACTCTTGAAGTTTCCTCATAACTCACTTTCGGTTATGTTTTATGATTTTTAAATTATATAATTTGTAACATTTTTTGAATTAATAGATTGAGGAATAGAGCAATCATTTTAAAATACCGTATTATACTAAGAGAACATTCAGTAGTCATAACATTTCTAAATCCTCCAAATCAAACGAGAATTAGAATCCTAAATGTCAACTCTCGTAAAATAACTTATGCCCAAATTCTGTTTGTTAGTTTTCCATAAGGTGTTATTGATACCAAGGTCTGATGAATACCCTTTTGATTTTAGTTAATATTTTTATTTAATGTTAAAGAAAAATCAATAGTATATTATTATATATATATTTGATTGTTACCCCGCCAATACTGTGTGATTTAAGACTTACTACTGTATATGACATCATTCTTTACCTGTAAATTGGCATAATATTAAGTTATTTGTAATTTGTTAGCATACATACGGTAATATTTATTAGAAATTCTGTAAACATAAATATAATATCTTTGTAAAAACAGATCAATCGATATATACGGGCACTAAAGGAGGCAGTTATGAGAATATATGCGACTTCTGTCTATACGAAGGACAGGGAAATTTCACGAGTTATGGCTATCCATTGCATTACCGAAATAACCTGAACTGCACCTATAGGGTCATGAGAGTCGACGAATCAGACGTCTGTGAAGTGGACTTATATTTCCATGACTTGGATGTGTCGGTCACATCACAGCCGTCCTCTGCCACCCAATCAACTCATTCTAAATATAACGCCAAACAAAACGACTGCCGCGAAGACTATCTGGAAGTGAACGATCGCCGCTACTGTGGCACCGGATGGAGACATCATTCCGATGTCATTCCCTTTCCATTGACTCAAAAAGAGCTCGTTTTCCGGTTTGTGTCCAACGATCAAACCAATGGAAGGGGTTTTTGGGTCGAAGTCAGGCGTCGGCACAACACGTGTTACGGCACTCGCCTTAAGACACAGGCCTCGGAGGTATGCGAAGAGAGATTCACAGAATTGGAGTTTGAGATGAAAAGTCCGCGCTTTCCAAACAACTATCCACTCAATTCTGACTGCAGTTATCACGTGAGACGAGCCAACGAAGACGTGTGTGGACTGGAACTGCTATTTTTCAAATTCGATGTCGAGATGTCTGATGGATGCGCTTATGATCACTTGGAAATCGACGGCCAAAAGTTTTGTGGAATACTTCCCGATTCGGCTCAAAAGATGTTTACTTTCGATAGCGACCACAAAATGATTTCATTTCAAAGCGATTCCCAGGTCTCGAAGTCTGGGTTTCACATTCACGCCAAACAACTCACTGCCTGCGGTCCCGCACCACTGCCAGCACCGCCTTCTTGTAATGTCTGTACGAGTGAAGGCTTCGGAACATTTGTCAGCTATGGATATCCTGATCACTACCGGAATAACCTCTTCTGCACCTACACTATTGATCGCAGAAACGCTGACTATTGTTATGTAGAGCTCGAGTTTGAAGACTTTGAGTTACAGGACTCAGACAACTGTGAGGCAGACTTCTTGCAGGTCGAGGACCAGAGATTCTGTTCCGATACACTTAGGCTCACCAAACGTACCATTCCTTTCGAGGGCAAAGATAAGGGCATTGTTATGATGTTCCGAACCGACGAATCGAAAACCAAAAGAGGATTTCTAATTAAATACAAACAACTCGAGTGTACCAATGATGTGGTCCAAGAGAAAGCATCGTTGCCTGAGTCGGCGATACTACCGATGCCTCACAGCAAATGTGATTACGTTTTCACAGACAAGGAGTTTATGATTCAGAGCGAGAATTATAGCAGAAGTTACGCCAATAACTTGGAGTGTAGTTATTATGTGAGAAAAAACTCGACTAAAGTCTGTTATCTTGAGCTGACTTTCATTAAATTCGATGTCGAGGCCAGTCCTGAGTGTCAGTACGACTACCTGGAAGTGGGAAATACAGTTCGCCTCTGCGGTACTCTTCAGACTGAAACGGTTCGCACATATATTTTCGACACCAATGAGAAGATATTGCGCTTTCATTCGGACGCATCCAACAACAGAAATGGTTTTCTCTTGAATGCCGAACAATTGGAATGTATGGGCGATAAGATAATTCGCAAAGAGCACCAGTACTCGGTCACTACACCCGCTGCTTCGGCAGTCTCTCCGACTCATTACAGTGTTGGTGGCGATCAAAGTTTTTGTAGTCAAGTGATGGAATCGCAAGAATTTAATATTTATAGTCCAAACTACCCGAACCCATACCCTGCTAACCAGGACTGCCTTTTTATGATCAGAAAGATGTCGCCAAATATCTGTAAATTAGAGGTCACTTTCGATGACTTCGAGATACAGCCGAGCGATCCAAACGCGAACTGCAAATACGATTTCGTCGACTTTAATGGCGTTCGGGTTTGCGGTGATGTCGTGAGGGGTGACATCAGGTCCTACTTCTTCTCATCGGAAACATTTCCCATTCATTTCCATTCAGACAATTCAGTGACGAGTTCTGACAGAGCTTTTCGTCTAAACATACGACAGACTGAATGCGAGCAACAAAACAATCAAATCATACCATTAGAAGACACGAGACCTAAAGATCACTACCAGAAGGCATACGATTGTAATCGAGTTTATTCTGAAGTCGCTTTTGAACTCAAAAGTCCAAACTATCCACAAAGTTATCCAAATAACATGAACTGCAAGTACACTATAATGAAACAGAGGACTGGTATTAAAATATGTCAATTGGAGGTGAACTTTGTGGACATGGATTTGGAGAAGAGTCACGACTGTGTCAATGATTATCTCAATTTCAACGGACAACTCATGTGTGGATCGCTATCGAGCGAAACGACGAGATATTATTTGTTTGAAAGCAATCAATTCGTAATGAATTTTGTCTCCGATTCCTATCGAAGCCAAAGGGGTTTCTTCTTAAGGATTCGTCAGAGAGAGTGTCCGCCAGAAGATAAGACAGCTTTGGTTAGACAGCCGTATGGAAACGAATTGACTCAATGCGGGGGAATCTATACTGACCTCTCTTTTGATCTGAAAAGTCCTCAATATCCGGAATATTACGAGAATAATGTCGAGTGTTTTTATAGAATTCGTCGTCGAAATGATAATATCTGTAGACTTGAGATCAGATTCATTGACTTTGATGTGGAGCCGAGTTCTGGATGTGCTTATGATTACCTGATAATTGACGGCAAGAAGCTGTGCGGAGATATGAAACCAAATTTTATTAAGTCTTTAGACTTCACTGAAAATGAAAAGATCTTAATGTTTAGAACGGGAACTACAAGTAAAAGACGAGGATTTTTGGCTAAAGTTTACCAAAAGGAGTGCGAGGTATATGTACCGCCAACTGATAATACTTTGGTGTTACCACCGATTCCCTCGATCTGTGAATTATGCTTCACAGAAGTAATGGGAAGTATTCAATCGTACGATTACCCCAACAATTATCCGCCAAATCTAAGTTGCAAATACAAAGTGACAGCACTTCCCGGTAATTGTATGGTTCAGCTTAACTTTGAACAGTTCCGGTTGGAGTACTCGGAGAGTTGCGACAAAGACTACCTGGAGATCAATAATATTAGATACTGTGGCAATCAATTGGAAGGGGCAACTCGTATGTTATACAATACATATGCTATATATTAAGAATTAATTTAAATATATTTTTCACTTTTCTATAAGTTCTGGCATTCAATAAGAAACCGGAAGACGTTTCGATTAGATTTGTCTCAAATGGTCAGAAGAGTTTCAGAGGATTCCGAGCCTCATATACACAGCTTCCGTGCATTGGAGGCGTGCCATCGGGACAGCAACAGATAACTCTTCAGCAACAGGAACAGTATTATCAGCACAAATACCAGGGCAAAACTCAACCCCCAGTACAGTCACAGCAACCAATTCAACGACAATCACAACCATCTATTCCAAGAGCGCCTCCATTTACGAGTTCCACTGGTGTCACAAACTATGGATCGGTTCCCATTGCGATCGTCGACAACACCAATGCAATCAATTCATCGTTGATTCGCGTTCCGTGCGATCGAGTCATATATGATATGGTGTTTGAGATGAGATCTCCTAATTATCCCAATTATTATCCGCCAAACACTGACTGTCTTTATTCCATACGAAGAAGCAATTCAAATGTGTGTAAACTTAGGCTCAGATTTATAACGTTTGACTTAAAGGGAGAATACAAGGAATGTGTCGGCGATTCACTTGAAGTGAACGGAAACAAAATGTGTGGAAGTCTTCCTAATAATACGATGGGTTAGTCCTAAAATGACTGTTTATTAAATAAAACTGAAATTAACTGAAAGTTATTTTATTTCTTTTGTATCCAAAGAGGAGTTTTCGTTTACTTCATACAAGAGTTCGATTAGATTTCGTTCAGATTCTGACATCAGTTCTAAAGGCTTCCTAATAATGGGCGAACAGATCGAGTGCTACGGCATGAAAGCGCCTACAGATGAGACATCTAATAGACCCCTATATTATGGACAGTCGTCTGTTCAATACGCCACTGAGAATACATTGTCTTCCTCTCCATCCCAATCCGTATCCCAACCACAGCCTCAGCCCTCGTATTCATATCCTTCAGCTGTAGATTCAAAGCCACAGCAATCGTATGCGGGCTCTCCCTATAGTCCTCCACAGTCATCCCCTCCCATTCAAAAATCTCCTCAACAACAGTATTACTACTACCGCTCTCCCCAACCAACTTCCCACTCATCCCAACCTAAGCCCTTCACAGCTCACATCTCCCCCTCACCACAGAGTGGTTCCCATTCCGATCAGAACTACGAGAAACGGTACACTCCCTCACCTTCAGTCAAGTCATACCCAACACAACAGACTAGTGGTTACGACTCGAAGACACAAACCCAATACAATTCACAACAAAGTCATAGACAGTATTCCCCCTCACAAAGAGTGCACAGCTCTTCCCAATCCCAGACCCATAGGTCTCCACAACCTTATGATAAGACAGTACAAAGTTATGGCAATTTAGAACCAGGAGCTGATTCACAGAACAGATACTATGAGAAACAAAACCAAAGTCCTTATATTGAAGTTAAGCATAAAATGCAAACGAATTATGAAACGAATGTTAAGACTAAATGCGAGCAAAACATTCAAAGCATGTATTTTGAGATTAAAAACCCCAAAGAATCAGAACCCGAGTGTTTGTATAGAATAGAAAAAGCGAAAGAAAATGTGTGTCAATTGGATATAATGTTCAGTAATTTTGATTTGGGAGACCAGTCCTGTGCCAAACAGTTCATGGAAGTGGACGGACAGAGAATGTGCGGATCTATTGCGAGGAATACAATGAAAACATTCAAATTCAGCGAAAACAATGAAATTATGATTTACTTGAAGGCAGAGACAATGGGTTTTAATAACGGGTTTGACATAAAGGCCCGTCAGGTCGAGTGCGGCCCACCCAAGGATAAGACTCAACAAACGTATGGACAGCAACCACAGCAATATAGTAGAGATAGGATGCCATCAAATGGTCAGTCTTATGGATCTTCTATGCAATCAAATGGCTTCAGACATTCACCGCAACCACAACCACAACCAGGAAGTGGTGGATCACAAGCATATGATGGCAGACAAGCAACTCATCCGAGAGCCAGAGAACCGCCTCAAACCAATTACGATGGCTTTGATATGCGTATGCCTTACCGTCCAGAGGGACCCGACAGACGACTCGGTGCACCAGTTCCTACATCTGAGGACAGGTGTCAAATAATATACACGGAAATAGAGTTTTCGATTACTAGCGTAAACTACCCGAACTCCTACCCATCCAATATGTTCTGCACATATACTATAAGGAAAGCTAATCCCGACGTTTGCGCCGTTGATATCAAATTCAATTCATTCGACATCGAAGACGACCCCAAATGTAATAAAGACTATCTGGAAGTGGACGCCGGAAAGATATGTGGTCCCCTTCCGCCCAGTCATGAAAGTAAGTATAATTATAAACTTAATTATGACCCTGGACATAATAAGCTCGAAAATAATATTCAATTGTCTATCAATTTAAAGGACGATATTATTTCTTGAGCGAAGAATATGAGAAAGTATTGGTCTTTAAATCAGACGATTCTGGTGTCAAATCTGGATTTTCATTACACGTCCAGCAGATAGTCGACTGCAATAAGCCGTGGCAGCCAAGTAAGCCGTACTTCCCGATGATTTTGTCACTCAGTAATCAATGCTTTCATTTTATGATCTATAAGTGTCGGCCCCAACCCCTCCCACTGTTTGCGATGTCTGTCACCACAACCTAAGGGGACAAATAATGAGCTCTAATTACCCGAACCAATACAGCGATTACATGAGGTGTTCATATCGTATACAAGCCATGAGTCCTGACTTCTGTCGAGTGAAACTTTTCTTGAGAGATGTGGACATTGAGTCGAGTTCTTCGGGTGATTGCATGAAAGATGCGCTCATTATTGACTCGCAAAGGCTTTGTGGCAAAGATATCAGTACTAAAGAAAGTGAGTGACTATTAGACTATTAGTTTTTAAAGCAAATGTTACTCAAATAATTGCATATATCATGCAAATAGTGACGCTCACATTCCCGGCCAGTGAGCCCCGGGAGGTTCACATTGACTTCCAGAGCGATGTCAGTGGAAGTGGTCGTGGATTCCTAATTGAATACATTCAGGTATTTTAACATACATTTTACGCAATTGACTACAAAATTAAAATTTCTTTCAATTAATAGGAGTCGTGTCCGACACAGACATCTAATCGTCAGCCATCTATCGCGCAACCGATAGCACCGGTAGATACGAATGCAAACAGTTTTCCCACGATATCTGTTGAGACGACAGCAGCCAAACCGGACAACAGGATGGGAGCACTCATTCCTCCCATATATCCACCCAATTATGTGTCTCGCGCTCACATCGAGGAGATCGTCCAGACACAGGTCCAGGTGCTCGACAACAGGACCAGTGAGACCGACAATCACAATAGAAATCCAATCATTAAATAATTCATTTTGAGAGCAATTTGTAAAAGTTTATTTCTAATTTAAAAATCTATACAAAATATTGTAATAAAATATATTTAAAAATATCGTACTTTAGTTCTTTAAATTGATTTGATTAACTTGACATAAAACTTTCAATTCAATAAATAATTCTTAATCGAGATATAATCGCTTGAATAGCAATGAAATGGTTATCGAATTCATAGATATTTCTTGTGCCGATTTGCCAATTCGGACAAAACTTGTAATTAGTTTTCAGTTTGTATTTCTTGAATGACTTGTCTTTCATCGAGTGATCGCTAATTTGTTTGATTGCCTCCACTTTGCGCTTATCTTTCTTTACGTTCTGTTAACAAAATAAACATTAATTTCAAGAATTATTTTAACAAAAACACTGTAAAAATTACATCAGAAATAGTTTGGTCATCCATTAAAATATATAAAAGCGTAAAACATTTGCAAATAAGTTGAGAATTTCGACCAAAACTTTTGATGATTTTGAATAACGTTTCAATTGTTTTTGGATTTGAAACTAAATTCTGACACATTTTGTCGTACTATAAAACAAACGAAACAATAGATTAGTAATGAAATGAATGAATAGACAGTGATTTGAGACATACTTTGGCGATATTGAGGAGAATATTAACGGTGAGAGCAATGATCACAAAAATATATTTAACATAAATGACCAATACAGTTTACGAATTAATGGCATTAAATCTGATATAATTATGAAATAATTTTGAAAATACTTAAATATCATATTATGTGTTACTGATTACATTTTTATTGACACTATTAAATGATAGTTTATGTAATGATAAATTTTAAATAGGAATATTACTGAACTTGATCAAATTGGTCAAATTACGACATATTTTATTTAGACCTCAAAGCCAGAGACATTCTTTTTCATATAACGTATAGCATAGAGTGTGTGCATGAAAAGGGACCGGAAAATTATCTGATTTTTAATTAAAAATTTTTAAATACATTAAAAAATACTTAAAAATTTAGAGTTTTATTTCCTTAGTTTTCAATACAAATGCCAATTAACAAGTGAACATTAAAATCCCCCGTTTACACTGTGACTTATATTTAGAGGGTAAGTGATTGTATAAATGAGAGGGGAGTCTAGTGTTATAAGGAATTTAAAATCACTGCATTTAAAATGAGTTATTGAAAGCCCTTTTGTAGCAAAGAATCGTATTGCAAAGGGCGTAAGTCATAGGAGTGTGTACATCGACTTCGAGTTCATATAATTTTATTAAATTTGTTTAAATAAGTAAAACATTTATTTATTAAGCTTCCAAACATTTTAAAAATTTTAATGTAATTGAATGAATAAACGTATAAATAATAAAAACCATACAGAAAGTTATAAAAATGTTTGCGTTTTGAACTAATAATACAATTTAGTATTTTATCACAGATTATGACAATATTCTGATCATCTATAGATTATCTAATCACAGATTATGTGCGAAATTATGATAATATTGTGATAAATACTTTAATGATGTTTGAATAAAATCAACAGAATATGAAGAGTTAATCACTAAAAGATGCCATTTGTTTGAAATTTCACTAATGGTTCGCAAAATGACTAATAAATGGTAGGAATGTTAAGGAGATCATAGAAGTAGTGCAATCCCTGTCCGATCTCCCAAATGGCAATACCAGTGCCCAGTTCTTGAGCCAATTGAATGCGCTTTTGAATGGAATACAGAGTCGGATAAAAGACACGATTCCTTCCCGTACCACATCTGATGGCAAACAATACAAGTGATTACAACATGAAATGAATTAAACTTTTGATTGTTTATGAAATTAAGTTATAAATAAAATAAAACCTAATGGTCTACTAGCCTACAGGTATATTTCAAGACTTCACAACTAGCATATAACAAGTTAATAAAGTTTTAGGAAAGGGATCACAAAATTGAATTCATCAGGTTTAATCAGTGTTGCTGGCCTAGTAGTTGATTAAAATGATTGTATTTCTAATCTCTAAATACAAAACAATTAATTAAACTAAAATTTAACTTAATTGCGAAAAATTATTAAATTAATAGCATCTTATATAATCTTTTATAAGCTGGTTGAAATTACAAACCAAACCAAGTTTCAGATAAATAATTAATTTTGTTTTATTTAACAATTCTTTGGGAGTTTTAGATTTCTTGAAAAGTTTAAATTTATGTAACATATACTGTGAAAATGAACTTCAGATTTCAAGAAAATAATATTTTCCACATGAAATCATATTTCAATAATTTAATAAAATGAATCATTTTATTAAAATTAAATTATTCTTAATTGCCTTTAATTTAACAAATTCAATGAATTTTAATAAACAGACTGTGAGTCCAGTAATTATTTTTGCCAATTATTCGCACAAACTTAGTGAAATTAATATAGCATTAAATTTAACACTTAATATCTTTGTTCAAAAGTATTTATTAAATTATGATAAATATATACAAATTGTGGACAAAAGGTGTATATTTAATGGCGATATTCATATTAACCATCAAATAAGAGGAACCGCTATTTTATCGATTTGTCATAATTATGATCAAATGGTTTATAAAATTTTACATAATTAAATCATAATAATTATAATAATGTTTTTAAAATTAAACGTATTTTGTTAAACAGACCGGTATTTTAGAGATTGATTCGCAAATATATTCGTTAACCAAAAGTTCAATGAATGTTAGGAATCGAGTGAAACGATCGCCAGAATTGTATGAAATGGATGTGATTTCCCAATCTTTAGACAAAACAGCCATTTGTGGCAATCAATTGTCCGGTAATTTGAATTACAATTTTTAAAATGATAGATAAATACACACAAAGTTTGTAAAACAATTGAAACTAATTGTAACGACAAAGGCATTGACCGTAAAGTGAGACCAGAGTTCAGAAGAAACAAAGTGGAGGACGACTTGTCATCCGTTTATTTCAGTCATTCAACTCTTCGGATCTCCGTTTCAATCGATCGGTTATTCAAATACAGAAAGGCATTGACCGTAAAGTGAGACCAGAGTTCAGAAGAAACAAAGTGGAGGACGACTTGTCATCCGTTTATTTCAGTCATTCAACTCTTCGGATCTCGCAAAGTTAGCTAGCCAATAAGTTTATGTCTAAGTTTCCTTGTATGTAAACCGGGTTCTCAAGCGACGGTAAGTAAACCGTATGGAAGTCTTCAGTAATTTAGTTTACTTACACCGGAACAAGTAAGGCATTACACTCGTTGTCACCCACTTTTTGATTGCCCCCTTTGAGGACACCACCACTGGAACGCCACTTCATATTTAAGACACTTCTGTCGGTGGGCTGAGAGACAAAATGATGCAAATTTTCACGTATTATTTACCCGGTGGCTATTGAATTCTTCTAATAAATGCATATTAATTAATAAATGCTATACCCTGCTCAGTTCCAACCTATGGACATATGGTAATGGAAAAGTTGAAACAAATATAGTGGGGAATGGCGTACACGGAAACCCTGGGCGCAGACAATGACAGATGTGCTATAGTGGAGCACATCGACGGGTATTCATCACTAGTCCACGAATTCGGACATTTGTAGGACTTTCCACTTATTTCTCATAAATTATAAATTATATTTCTCTATCAGTTTAAGTATAACTTTAGAAAACAAATCTAAACAATGGTTGTAATTTATATTGATATCTACAACTTAAGGCAAAGTTGATACAATAATGTCTTACTAACGTTTATAGACAAATGAATTATCCATTTTTGCTAACAGTTTGGGTGTCCATCACGACGGAAGTGTCGACTCCGAGACCAAAGAGTGCGATGAGAATGAATTCATAATGTCTCCAAATCTAGGCATTAGTCGCACGACTTGGTCCGTCTGTTGTATCAAACAGTTTAAACAACATCTCTCCACTTCCTTATGTGGAGTCTCTATAATGTTTATAATAATAGCATTTGATATCATTTGAGATCTAAATAACTAATTGAATACATGTGTCAAGTGGTCGTAAAATCATATGTATGTCAACGGAAGCAAACCCATTGAACGAGGCTTTGGATATCACCCACACGGCTGCCCGTTATCCGGGTATTAAGATTACGGCTGACCAACAGTGCAAACAAATATATATCACTATATATTCACATTATTCCGATGATTATGTCAGTTATTTTCTGTGGATTTGTTAAATTTTATGTCATAACTAACTTATTGATTAAATTACAGAATATTTGTCTGTATCTCAAGTGTCGGAACAATTGGTTTGTTGTCCAGAGTTCCGGTGCTTTGGAGGGAACCGGTTGTTGTGGACCAAACAGAATATGCGATCTCGAGATTTGTAAGCGTATTGCCGATACTATTCAGTAGATAGTGTCGTATAATTGAAATGATTGGCAAACATTTAAACAGAATTTTATCAGCTAGATCTTTTATGCATAATATAAGTTTATATAACTTTTGAATGAATACAGTAGTTATAAGAATATAAATTTTTGATTACATAAAATAGAGCCCATTATAAAATTAGATCTAAATTAAAATGCAATATTCATATTTTATTAATAAAATATAAAAAGAGTTTATTATCTAATAATTATTGTGTAAAATGTGAAGTTGTTTTTATAAAATACAAATTAGTATAGGATTAAAATACAGACATTTATCATATTATGAATTATAAAAAAAATTAAAAACCAATTATATGTTGAGCCGACGAACGATCACTTGAATAGCAATGAAATGGTTATCGAATTCATAGACATTTCTTCTGCCGATTTGCCAATTCGGACAAAACTTGTAATTAGTTCTCAGTTTGTATTTCTTGAATGACTTGTCTTTCATCGAGTGATCGCTAATCTGTTTGATTGCCTCCACTTTGCGCTTATCTTTCTTTACGT